TAATTCCAATGTCATAGAAGTCGTTCCATGAAGTCGTTCCGATTTACTTTTTGGTATTGAACAAAATTTAAAGGATTGTAACTTTGAAAGTAGTTGTTGACCCTGTGTAAATTAAATTAAATTAAATCAATTTTTAAACGTAACAAAATTCATGCTGATAATTTAAAAAAATCTATTATTAATAAATTACCTGGATTAACACTATATCAAGAATATCCAATGCTATGGAGCGTAATTCTGATATGTTTTGAAAATTTAATATTGATATTAAGACTTCAATACAATCTAAAGGAGTAATAAGAAGCATTTGAAAAGATATAACCTTACAAACTGAAAATTCAGAAAAGAGAAGAGTTTCAAAAAAATATTCGTGTTGTTGGTTCTTCAAGAAATCTATCAGTTTTAAAGCAGTCACTCCCTGTAAAACATTTTATATAGAAAAATACTAAATATAATTTTGATTAGTTTATATTGATCAAACATGCCTGTGATACCCTCAAAAAATTGCTGTGAGAATCTAGTTTACTTGCAAGTTGGATGCAAGATATTAATCTTATTTTAGAAAGATTTACTATTTTGTTGCGCAAATGTTTCCATTGAATAAAATTTTTATCATTTCTATTCTCTTTATAAATTTCTTGAAATTGATTTTTTATACATTTATCGTACAAGTTGAGAGCAATATATTTAGTATTGGAGTTTAATCCAAATTTTTTTATAATTATAAATACAATCTTTATGACTGATGAAGAAACAACTGAAACATACCAAAATAAATTGTTATAATAAAATTTAACTGTTAAAAGATATAAATACCTAGTTTGCATTTTGACTAGCAGCGAGTCTCGTTATGAGTCCTATAAGTGACTGTCTCATATTAACGCGAGTCTGGTTAAAAAAAAAAAAAGAAAACCAATGGACTCATAACGAGACTCGACTGTATATAAATTAAATACTTTCGGTCGTACATGGCAAGAAATGATGATTTTGATTTCTAAAACATAAATATTGTTCTTTTCTCAAACGATGTATGTATTCTAACCTCTCCATTAATCACTAGATGTATAAATATGTTAAACAGTTTTACGGATTATACAGGTCAGAATAAATGGATCATTCATATTAAACCATTAATTAAACATCTACCAGTACATGAAAATTTGAATAAATTCTCAAGTTATTTCAAATTAAATTTAAATGGGCTAAAAATTAAATATATATTTATTAACGGCTCTCTATAAGAGCTTCGTATGTCAAACAATCATAGTTTTCAGTGAAAAACACTTCTATAGGGATTGAGAAAGATGACCTTGACGCCACCTGCCGAGAAAAATGTAAAACAAAGTGGTGGCAACTAGTATACAAAACAATAAAATATTTGTTAAATTAATTATTTTTTTTAATTTAATTAACATAATTTTTCATAATGTCTTCTTCAAAACTATTATCAAGTTTTTCTATTCCACTGAAAATTAAAAAAAAATTCAATTCTAGACTTCGAAACTTGTTACGATACTGAATCAAAAGACATCTTACAACTTTTCAAATTTTTATAACAATTCAATTATTATTAAAAAATTTATAGTAAAAGAATTCCACATGTAGAAATTTAAAAAACTTATTTGTACAAATTTTCAAAAGAATTTTTTTTATGATAATTGATTTGCCATAAAAATTTAAAAAATTATCAAATGTCAGCTGATCTCAGTCTCATTTTTTTAATCAAAATTAAATTAGCCTACATCTGAAAATTTTTATAATTTTCTTTATTAAAAAAATCATTACAAAAAAATCAAAATAAAAAATTTCACATGTCGGAGATTTAAAAATTATGCGTGCAAATTTTTAAAAGTATTTTTTTACTTGCAATTTAATTGTTGAAACAAATGCAATAATTGCTGAACATCGGCTAATTTTAGTGTAATATATTTTTACAAAGTTTATATTTAATTATAAATTTCGTCAATTAACGAATATTAAAAATAATTTCAAAAAAACTTCATCAACTAACATCAATTTTTATACTGTAAATATCGGAAACTTTGGTTTGAGTGACAACTGAGCAGGTTATGGTTTAATGTTTACTTGAATCTTCTGTTTCTACACCATTCGAAACGTGTCCTGACTCGAATAACTTTTTTCCTTTTATGTCATTTTGACCCCTAATATGGGTATTTTTGACGGACAAGAACCCGAATTTAATTATTTTTTTCATTATTTATTTCAACTAATACTATTTATTACACTGTTTACATCACTATGCTTTACATTTTCAACACCAGGGCGCTCCACTTTCAGCAGTAGTGCTGCCTCTACAGTTCTTTCTCAATCCCTATTAAGGCCATTCTAGGAGGGTACCTCCTACTTTTTTT